GCGGGTGAGAGGGATAGGCTGTTATGGCCAGGGATTGGATCGTTCGGACAATTGATGGAATGGATGGAAGAACAACCCGGAGAGAAGACCGACCATCACAGACATACTTCCCATTTGTTTGGCGTATTCCCGGGACACCAATTCAATTGGGAAACAACACCCACTTTAGCCAACGCTTCCCTGGTATTTATCACGATATCATTTATATGAATAATGTTTAAGACATGATATACACTACAACATAGACGTCCAAAATATGAGTAGCATGCAAAATTACTAATGCTATTCATAAAACAATCTGTCCTTTTAGGGAACACACTTACACAGAGGCAGGATTCTCAGGGATTTTAGCATAAATATAGAGTTACGCTCACGCATATAAACATTGTTACAAATTAAACATTTTAAAATATTGTTATAATTTTAGAAAGTAAGTTCACAATTTAGTTATTTTGGTTAAGTTAGTCTATTTAATTCACAAATTATTACCATACTTTAATATTAACTAAATAGTGACCTAAATTAATTTATTTGTGAACTAAATTAATTAACTAGTCAACTAAATTAGCTTAATTGTGAACCAAATTGACTAAATAGTGAACTTTCTAAAATTATAACCATATTTTAAAATGTTTAATTTGTAACAATGTTTATGCGTGAGCGTGACTCTATAATTATGCTAAAAACCTGAGAATCTTGGCTCTGTGACATACAGTATACGTCTATACTATTGTCGCACAGATATGGTTTCCAGAAACCAACTAGTGATGTATGCATTTACTATTTAAACTGAGTATATACAACACTATTATTTTGATGTCTAATAAATATTCATACTATTAATCAAAGTGAAAATTATGTTCCCAACAAAATATCTTGGTCACTTTTAATTCATTAAATATTAGTGTTGTGAATAGTTAATTAGTTTACTAATATTATAAAACACTATTTTGAGGATTATAAAAATTCTGGACAGGCCTGGTCTATACCCTTCATTAATAAGTTGGGTTCACTGCACTACCTTTATAGTAAATTATGTTAGGGTAGTTTGTATTGTAATTTAACTAACCTAACCGTAATGTATCAACCATAATGGTAATATTGATACATTAGACAAACCTACAGGGTGTGGTGTATATGACCTAAAATAAACCTATTTTTATTTCCGAAACTGTATTCACTGTTTATATCTCATATGCACAACAACTAGGTTTCACTTAAAGCCAGAGGTATAGACCCAAAGAGCGAAGTGAAGGAGTGGTCGTTTGCGTGGCGAACAGCCATATACGCCCGGCTCAGGGACGCCGAGAACGCCCACCACTTACTACGCGAGCTGATGGCAGACCGTAATACCTGTCCCAATATGTTTGGATTACACCCTCCGATGCAAATCGACGGCAATTTCGGTATAACCGCAGCCGTCGCCGAAATGCTGGTCCAGAGTCATGAAGAAGTCGTCGAACTGTTGTCGGCTCTGCCCCGGGAGTGGACGGCCGGACACGCGAAAGGTCTGCGGGCCAGAGGTGGACACCAGTTGGACATCTATTGGGCTAATCATACGCTGAATAATGTGTTGATTACGAGTACAGTCGCCGGCGATGTTAAACTCAGATTTGGAAATACTGTCAAAACAATTACAGTGACTCCGAGTAAACCGATTCATTTGGACCACAATCTGAATCCAATTCCTTAGAGAATATTTTATTGTAGTTACTCTTGAAATAAGAGTATCATTTTAAATTTTCCCCCCAATTTTAAATTTATTTACAAAAATGTTTATCACTAATAAATTACTTTCAAATTGACCGAGTGAGCTATATTTATTTAAACAAAAACATAATTTTATATAGTCATCATTCAACAATTATTAATAATCCCGAGTTACGCGATTCACATATTCATTAAACGTATGAATGTTTTGGTAATTAATGTTTTGAAACTAATTCACAGCTATTGACGGATTTGTGTTTACATTTGAAAATTAATTGTATTTATTTTTGACCACAATTATAATATCACCTTTTAGGCATGATCATTTTTGTATATTTAATATTTATCACATGTTATATGTACAATAACATATTTAAAAGAATTATACGAGACTATTTTAATCAAATGTATGATCACAAAAAAAGCTTATGTTATATTAAATGAAATTATTATATAACGTTTATAGCAATCTAGTTCGTTTGGTATATCTAAATTACGATAGTAATTATATAATATTCATACAATTATTTATACAATTATTATCTAGTACATTTCATGATACAATTTTCTGATATTTAATATGTTTTGACATTTTAAAGATATTATTTTAATAATTAGATATTCCATTAATGTTCAAATACCATGTCAAGGTTTTACCAATTGTCAATATAATTTGATGAAATTAAGAAAGTAAAATAAGCTTTTTAAATGGTATATAAATATCTAAAATCAATCCCTGGCCATAACAGCCTATCCCTCTCACCCGCCACGCGATCCCTGAACTCTTTGTCGACTCCCAACACATCCGCCGCTTTCACGTAATTTGTGTACAAATCCCATACAATCTCTTGATTATAACTAAAGCCGTCCTCATGGGGTCCGTGTTCTGGTGACCACCCTTTAGGGACAACCAGTTTTCCCAACTGTTGTTTAGTGCCGTTCGTCACAACATTCAGCTGCTCGTCCCAGAATTCGGAGACCTCTTTGAGGTAAGGATAGGCCACGTCCTTTAGAAATGTCTTATTCATTCCGAACGCGTAATGTTCCCAAAAGTGTTGCGCATACCTGTGCCCGATGTAAAAAATCATTTTTGGTTACATCATTTATGGATCAGGTCGTTTGATTTATTTTAATTTTATCAAAAAAACCACATACTATCTAACTCTACTTTGAATGCTTATAATTATAATTATAAAAGTAATCTTCCACTTCAACTTTTCATTATAATATAAATGTAATTCATATAAATGTACATTATTTTTGAATGAAGTTAATCTCCAATTTCTCAAAATATAGATTTAATGATTCAATTCCTAAACTAATTAAATAGTAATTTTTGAAAATTTTAAAGAAATATAAAATTTAAATTTATTTATTATTTTAGACTGGTCAATCAAGTAGGTCAAACTGGCACTTAGCCTATTAATAATTATGCACGTTGTATCACAATACATACCAGGCCGTGTCCGTTTTATCCCAGTCCATATGCCCACCATTACCCCCGTAGATGTTGTGGGCAGTGATGGCCACACCTTTTGACGAGTGTTTGCCCAGAGGTGTCAGTAATTCATCTGAAGTTCTTGTTTGTTTGCGCCATACATTCAATTGACTCCGAATCATATTGAATAGAGGCAAATGACATTCAGCAAGGTTAGTTGTCTCTGCGGGCCAGTAGTTCATCTCGATATTAATGTTTGTGTGATAGTCTGCATGCCAGGCGGGACTATTGTTGTCGTTCCATAGACCCTGATCATATGTATATGAAATTGAACATTTTATATAAAACAAACAATATTTGTAAATGAATATAAAAAAGTTGATCATCGTTATATTAATGATAATATATACACTGTATATTATACAGTATGCATGTTTCAAATTAACACTAGACTAGACAACGCAAAATATTACTAATATCTAGGTTAATCATTAAACAAAAGTTGATATGTATTAAGAAATTAAACTTGCAATTTAGGGTTATTTGTGAGTAGAAAGCGATTTTTTATAAACTTGGATACTTTAAACGTAAACAATATTTAAAAAAGATTTCGACTAATAACTAATTCGCAAATGTGGATTATTTTCCACAAACAGAAATAGTTATTTCTAAAGTATATAATACTCTGTAGTAATAGAGAAATAATCGGAAACATTTTGTGAATGACCTGTAAGTTTGCCGGAAGACTCGTTCGCGACGACGATATCATGAGATACCTTCCGAATTGGAAAAACATTTCCTCGAAGTCCGGATCGAATGTCGCGACCGCTTCGACCTTCCGTTTAGCGGTCGATAACGCCGTCTGTTGTGCCGACGACTGACCCAAATCGACGTCAACTCTGTTGAACAACGAGTGGAAGTCCGACAAGTGTTCCGTCCGTAGGGTTTCATACGATTTAACGGATGCCTTTGCGACCCAATCATTGACGTGAACAGCGGGGTCTTCGCCGGACTTAAACTTCTTTTGGTCGTCGAACACATAGTCAGTACCGGCGCTAACGATGAGTGTCAGGGCGTCGCAGCCGTTGAACTCAATGACAGTGCCGTTCACTTTGAGAGTACCGCCCGTGTGTTGGGCCAACACTTTCCACGCAAACCGCAATCCATTCACTAGTTTGCCGTCAACTGCGATTGTATTGTTCACCGCATTTGCGGTCACTTTATGCGAGTCCTGCAGTTCTATGCGTCCGGTGTATGCCTTTCCCTTATCGGCGGTCAACCGGCCGACCAATACGTCCGACACGTGACTCACAAAGTATTCGCGTTTGTATTGAACGCCATGTGATTCGTACCGAACGGTCGTAACCGCGTCCCCGATATCCAGCGCTCGCTTGTACTGAGTGTTGACCTTATGTTCGGGTAAATCGACGTAAATATTACCCAAAGTCTGATAATCACCAAAACCTGGTCCGTGATAGACTTGGGTCGGGTTGTCATCACCCGTCCATAAAGTTATTTCATTCATATTTATTATCTCCTTTTCTGTAATTAATTAATACCCAGGATATTTAAGAAAAATAATTTCAAAAAGAATTATATTTTTAATATAACTCTAAACGTATTGTCTTTAGGATCTTAAATTCTATGTTTATTATAAACAATTATAAAATATGTTATTTAATAACTAATTCAATATTTTATTTTTTAAAAATTAATATATATTTTTTATGACTAACCCGGGTGTCCATAAACCAGTCCACCTATACGTCCATTACCGATAGGCAGGGCCTCATTCATGCCGTCCGCGGCCGGGCTTTCATACCAAAACACTTTGTCACTCGCCCGGACACATGTGACAAATACCTGGATTATAACAGGAAATAGTAGCAAATACATTTTTATTTTATAATTCTACTTAACTTTAGAGAATATAATTTTCTTTTATATATTATATTAATGAAGGTTATATTTATGAACATGCGAGCATACTCAGTATGCGTTTATTAATTTATAATCGGGGTAACCGGGACCCATAAATAATTTATCGTAACCACACTATCGTATACCGTACCATATACTGTATATAAACTATTTTAGGTATGATTGTCCTTGTTTAGATAATACTGTTTTTTTTAATCAAATATCAATCCATAAGTCAATTCACATGAATATTATTTATAAATAAATATTAAATAAAATATGAAACACAAGATTTTCTAATTTTAAATGCCACATTCTAGCATACTGTATCCAGTATGCATTACACAACATAAATATTGTATATAAATAAATATTAAATATCTGGAAAATTATCAAATAGTAAGCCAAATTATATCGATAATAGAAATATAGTTTGATATTTGTGTAGTCATCCGGATAAAATATATGTCATATATATTATATACGACATTATATTATTATACATTACATTATACGTTATTATATTATTATATATGTCATATATATGTATTAATTACTTACGATACACTTAACCCAAAAAATATTTTAGTTTATTACAAAGTCAAGCAAGATACAATTTGTTGCTGATAAAAATATGAATTGCTACTTGAGTCACTCCTTTAAACTTACGTATAAGGGACAGGTATGATATACAGGTGAGGCTAGAATGACAATTCTCAGCTAGGTCATTAAACACAGGCTCACCATTAGCCATGTGACTTGTAAGATGACCAAGAATATACAAAATGTTGGCAAAAGCAATCAAAATTATATACGAAACATACTTATTTATAATGAAACGTTTATTTCAAAATTTAATAAAATGACATTTTCTCTAAGGAATTGGTTTACTCGGAGACACTGTAATTGTTTTGACAGTATTTCCAAATCCGAGTTTAACGTCGCCGGCGAAAGCACTCTTAATCAACACATTATTCAGGGTATGATTAGCCCAATAGATGTCTAACTGGTGTTCCCCTCTCGCCCGCAGTCCTTTCGCGTGTCCGGCCGCCCAATCCCGGGGCAGAGCCGGTAACAGTTCGATGACTTGTTCGTGACTCTGGACCAGCATTTCGGCGATGGCTCCGGTAATACCGAAATTGCCGTCGATTTGCATCGGAGCGTGTAATCCAAACATATTTGGACAGGTATTACGATCGGACAACAACTCGTGGAGTAAATGGTGGGCGTTCTCGGCATCCCTGAGCCGGGCGTATATGGCTGTGCGCCACGCAAACGACCACTCCCTCACATCGCTCTTTGGGTCTATACCTCTGGCGTTAAGTGACACCTATTTGTTGTGTTTATGGGATATAAACAGTGAATACAATGTTTGTATTTAAAATAGGCTTATTTTAATGCATATACCCAAAGTCCTGTTGGTTACCGTCACTGCACTACCCTTTTTGTTAGGTTCAGTTTGGGTCAGTTAGTCTCACTCAGTGAGTCATAGATGGAGAGTAAAAACCGTTAGAAAATGTCTTACATTTAAAGTTTGATTATCTTATTGGTAGAGGGTCATTGTTAACATAGTTATTATTTTAAAAATTCAAATGTACTGGTTTTCACTCTCCTTCTGTGACTTACTGGTCTTACGGCAATATAACCTGCACCAATATAATTTAACACAAGGGTAATGCAATGAGGAGGATCTATTTGTGTAAACTATATCTCTTGAGGTTAGTCTAAAAGTATTCATATAAAGTATATAGCGATTAATACCAGGGAAGCGTTGACCAAAGCGGGTGATGTCTCCCAATTGAACTGATGTCCAGGAAATACGCCAAACAAATAGGAAGTATGTCTGTGATGGTCGGTCTTCTCGTCTTTTTGCTCTTCCATCCATTCCATCAATTGTCCAAACGATCCAATCCCTGGCCATAACAGCTTATCCCTCTTACTCGCCACGATATCCCTGTACTCCTTGTCGACTCCCAACACATCCGCCGCTTTCACGAAATTTGTGTACAAATCCCATACGATCTCATTATAGCTACAGCCGTCCTCATGGGGTTCGTGCTCTGGTGACCACCCTTTAGGGACAACCAGTTTTCCCAACTGCTCTTTAGTGCCTTTCGTCACAGTCGTCAGCTGTTCGTCCCAGAACTCACACACTTCTTTCAGGTAAGGATAAGCCACGTCCTTTAGGTATGTTTTGTTCAATCCGAACGCATAATGTTCCCAAAAATGTTGGGCATACCTGTGCCCGATGTAAAAAACATTCTTGGTAAATGAACTTGAATATGGTACATTATTTATGGATACAACCGTATGACCTATCGTGTATTGGACCTACTGACAATTCTCATTTATTTAACAATTACATATGCAACCCAACTGAACATAGAGTCCTTATTAATTATTTGTGAACTTAAGTAATTATAAAATAACCTTCTACGAAAATTTTGATAAATTTTCTATTTTTGAATTCAGCCATTTTTAAGTTTTCCAAAATATGAACTTAATGCTTCAATTCATATGCAGCGTATATTTAAAATAATAATCGTTGGACTGTAGTGAGGTATAGGGTAAATGAAGTGAGGTATATTTTTGAATTCATAAAATTAGGTTGTCATTGGTAAAGTGGAAAGCGTTGAAAATTTAATAACCAAAAAAATAAAAACTCAAATTAGGTCAAACGGTCGGTAACCCATTATTTATAATACAATTGTTTGTCACCATACATACCACGCTGTATTCGTCTTATCCCAATCCATGTGAGTACCCATTTCTCCATAAATATTGTGCTGACCGGCAACGGCTATTCCTTTAGACGAGTGTTTGCCATCCAGTGTCAGTAACTCATCGGACTTTCGCGTACATTTGCGCCAACTATTCACTTGACTTACGATTAGATTAAATAAGGGCACATGACATTCAGCAAGGTTTAAATGTGTAAGGGAATATTTTATTGATTTATAGTAATATGTAAAAATTGCAACTTATAGTAACAACAAACGTAAATCATATAATAATATCTATTTATTATTGTAGTAATACCGATACACATAATGGTATATCAATAATGGAAACAAGGTTAATAACTTAAGTATAATATTAAAAGTGTCAAGTTGCAAATAAAGCCACTGTTAAATAAATTATCAAAGTCTAGCAACATTATCTGATCAAGTTGGTTTGACTTATACTTTTAAAATATATGTAAAAAATTTAAACGAATAAATATTTGCATAATAATAGCAATAAATGTCAACAATGTATTATAAGTTTTGATGAACCCTATTGAATAAATATGAATACAGCTGACATTTTTTACTAATGTATTATTTATAAATTATTATCTGAATTAAATTGAATTCATTTGCTACGTAAATGGGAAAAATATAATTTTATAAATTTATACACAATAATCTAATACATAATATTTTATTATATTTTATTAAATTAACAAAAAATATTTATAGACTTAACAGGTTTAAAAATTATGCATAGATTTTCAATGCAATTCAAATGCCTTAATCTCTCACCGGCATATCCAGTTGTTTAAGTAAATTACATTCATATGATATTTAAAAATATATAACTTATATTAATATTATATGTGTAAATATAATTATTAGAAAATGAAAAATATAAAAATTGAAATATCAACTAATTTTCTATAAATTTTGTTTATTTAATAATATTATTATAATACATAGGTATAACAATATTTTTAGCTAATATATTTTTAAAATTACAATATTTTAATATATCATTAGATCCTTTGCGTGCAAGAAGGATCGATGTAATTTTCTTTGTATAATTATTAATATACACTTATTAAATGGGTTTCATCATGCAGAAAAGGGACATTTATTTTGCAGTGCAAACTGTATGCATAACCTGATCAATGCTTTTCATAAGTAATAAACACTGTGTGTTAGTATTGAAATCATTAATATGGTTATGTTTACAGTTTGCCCTGCAAAATAAATGCCCCTTTTTTGCATGATGATATCCAAATGCTTATAAATTAATAAATAGTCATGAAAATGATTTAACACACTATGTAAAAGTATTTTTAAAATTTTAATTATTTATATTTAGTTATATTTATCTAAAACATATTGAAATTATAAGTTTAAATATTGTTTCAAAACATTAATTGTCATTTTTAATTCATATAAATTGTAGTTTCTGTTAAATATTTCTGTGAATTTAATCTAAATTTTGCAATCTATTGTTTTAATTGATTAACTTTAGGAATATTTTTATAATTATAACTTTTATAGGCATTAAGATACAGATATCATTAATTTTATAATTTATTTAATTATTCTTTGTACTTTTAATTAATTTATAAGTTTCAATTTAGTTACTTAAATATTAAAATTAATAATAATTGAGTTTAACTTTAATTACAATGCTTTGTTATTTACTTACTTTCATACTAATAACAATATCGATACTACAAATAAACTATTACTGCATTGCTTACAGTTTGCATTCATTACGCACATCGACCTTTATAGCACTAGCCTATCCATTTGTTTAAAATTTTAATTAATATTTAATTGCTTTTTAAATATTTAGATGTTTATCTAGAATCTACTAATTATCAGTTAGTTTAATTAGCATATCAAACTATTTACCTTTTGATAAGGTGAAATCAAGGTCTTTTGAAATAATGATTTTAATTTAAACAATTTTTAGATGCATTTATATGTATAAAGCACATTTACTGCGTTTTCATTAATTTATAAAAATAACAATCATAATAATTATTATTTAATATAATTTTTATTGAAAATAATAATTATGAAAAGTAAGTTAAATGTGATTGTAAAACAAAATATGTATTATTATTGTACTTATAGGTGTACGTGTTTCAGCATGGTTATTTCAATTTATCATTATATATGTCGTAACCACTGACGCAAGCAAATGCCCTGATCCACAACATATTCAACCATGTAAATGCCTCGATACACTTGACAGCCTACCCGACCTGATTTGCACCGGTGATGATATCCACGATTTATTAAGTATTAATTTTCAAGAAATCGATTCATATCACAAAGAATTCGTTAACCTTGTAATTGATAACACTTCTATCGAATCGATCGAGAGCAAGTTGATTACGGACATGAGTTATCGGTATTTGCATATAACGAACAACTTAAAATTAAGCAATATCAGTTTTGGCAACTCATATATCCACAATAAATTCATGCTATTGGATATAAATTTATGTAATTCACCACTAATTACGTCGAATTTCGATGTTTTCCGATTTATCAACCAAATACAACCGAAGAATCAAATTACGATCCGAGACATTAACATTGATGATATACCCGACTTTGCTTTTGAAACAAATAATCATGCATATAGCTTAACGATTAGCAATACCCTGGTGAAAAGTATTGGTAGTTACGCGTTCAAGCAATTAACTGGGTTACAACGATTAAACCTAAAATCGAATCGTATATCGAATATTAAACCTAATGGATTGACTATGAACATGTCGAGCAATGCTAGACAATTAGAGATTTATCTTGATCATAATGATTTAACCGAAAATAGTTTTGCTGATAATTGGATGAATAACCGCCAGACAAACTTCGAAACCATTGCAAATGATGTTGATAAGATTATAATTAGCCTGGATTATAATAATATAACCAGTCTGCCGGAAAGTAGTTTCAAAAGCGTTTTATATGATCCCCAAGTTAAATCAATATCAGTTTATTATGATAACTTTAAGTGCGATAATGCAATCACTTATTTGTATAGACATGTTTATTTAAAACATAAAGTTGCATGCAAATGTTTCATAAATAATTAGAATTTATATATATTATTATATTGTAATAAGATATAAAATTCTGGTATCATAGATACTGTATTACTAAAAATAATTACCGGTTTAATTTAGTAAAATAAAATACAGATATTGCATAATAAGCATTTATATTAATATATTATAATTTATTTAATCCTGTTTAATTTAGTCAAATATTATATTCCCCTAATCAAGGGAAGTATTAATTACAAATATACAAGACACATGAATTTTTTTTATTTGCATTGGTTTTATAAAATATCTAATAACAATAACATAATGTAACTTTTTTTTAAAAATTTTTACGGTAAATTTGTAATTGTTAAAATCAACTTAGTATATTTGAATTTGTTTTACCGGTAAGTATAAAATTTAGTCAAAATAAAATTACATTATTATTAGCATGGTGAAATCTTCATAACCTCTAAAATTGTAAGTAATTTATATGAAACATTAGCGCATATTTATAATTTGGATTATCAGCTTTAGCTTTAAACTTAAAATTATATTTATTTATATATTAATCATAAAATATGCTAATAAAAATACCCAATCATGTATTAAAATGATTTTTCATAAGATTAATTATGATTTTATCAAAATAAAATTTTACGATCTTGGTGATTAAGGAAATCAAAAGTTCCGTTAAATTATCAATAACTTACAACACCTAACCTAACATAACCTAACCTTACCTAACCTTACATAGACATTTTTAAATTTATTTACAATGTTTACAGTACATATCACTTTTAATACCATAATTTACTACATAATATAAAAATATGAAATTTTAATCAACTACTGTAGTTTAGAATTTTGGTATTCAAGTTTTAAATAAATAAATTTTATCAATATTTAAAACTATTTCTAGATTATATTTTTCATAAAAAATAATTATAATAAATATTATACTTTTAAAATATTTAATTATATCTAGAACAATGTTTAGAAAATATTCTTATTCTAAAAATATATTACAATCTTTATAGTATAAATATTTAATTTTTGTTTTAAACGCACCTCGTATATATTTTGAGTATTAATGTACTGATATAACATTGTCTAAACGGTCAGTAATTCGTACCTAATTTTTATCAAACATTTATCATTAAATGTATTTTTAATTTAGATTAGTGTAAGCATAAGTATACTAGTTTAATTATCAATACTACTATAGGGGGTTTTCATAATATCTGTCAGGTAAAATTAATATCTAAAATACATTTTACTCGGAAACCAATAAAGATATCAAAAAGTTTTTTAAACCTCAACTATGGATTTTGCTTATTTGTATTCCCCAGAAGACACCACTAGATTTGAGCACCGGTAGGCCGGCACAGGTAGGTTTTCTGTACAGCAATAACTACATGTCATACAGAAACAATCAGCACGGCGTTGGAAAGAGCATAAAAAATGATCGAACCCATCTATCAGGATTTCCCTGGTAATTATATCATTAAGGGACAGGGAGGCGCGGTAGGTTATAATATTGAATAAAATATAGAAAAATAGAAGAAATTATAAATTTGACTTAATCATCAAATTGTACTCAAAAAGTAGATAATATTTCCACTTTAAACCATTATGATATCTTAAGAAATAACTTATGTAGAGCACTTCAAAATTCATTAATTTTACAAATCTAATAAAATTGTTATAAATTTCAAAATGCTCTAGCTCAGGTATTAATTGAGATAATCCAAAACTTCCAAATTCATCAATACTACACATCATAATATCTGTCAGGTAAAATTAATATCTAAAATACATTTTACTCGGAAATTAATAAAGATATCAAAAAGTTTTTTAAACCTCAACTATGGATTTTGCTTATTTGTATTCCCCAGAAGACACCACTAGATTTGAGCACCGGTAGGCCGGCACAGGTAGGTTTTCTGTACAGCAATAACT